ATCTGAAAAAGCAACACACGCCGAGCATCTTCCCTTGTAATGACTAAACCTTTTGACTAAACCTTTTGTCTCTTTTTTGTCCATATTAGGGATTTTCTCATAGACTGTATAAAAAGGATTTTCTGGAGTCCTGAGTTCTATTTCTTCTATAATGTATATGTGGATTTTCTGCGCGAGGGCGCAGCCATTATTGAGTCCACACCAGAGCTGGACATGGACCTCGGATATAAAGGTTCAAGGTAACCAATGTGCCATAAATCAAGCACTGTGTCTAAAATGTTTGAAAGTGTCTATGATGCCCAGAAATACTGTTTAGGTTATATAGGATTCTTTAAACTGAACTGAGTAACTGCAGTTTTACTCTCTCATATTAAAGTGTCAGATCCTAAATCCAGTGCTGGTGTATAACTGAATGATGTAACCTGCTTGTTGCTGATGTGTTGAAGCACCCCGACCCTAGGGATTGAGAACATGGCATTCGACCGAAATACAGAGTCCCTCTTTGAAGAAGTGTCGTCAGCAGGCACAGGTTTGATTGGAGACGTGGATGAAGGAGCAGATCTGTTGGGTACGTTTGTTGCTGTTCATTTTCAGATATTATGAAGGGAAAAACATATTACACAAACATAAAACAGTTTTTCTTGAGCATGATTTTTATTAACATCAAAGGAATAGTTCACCCAAAAATTTGCTGAGAATTTACTCACCCTCAGGTCATCCAAGATGTAGATGAGTTTGTTTCTTCATCAGAACAGATTTGGAGAAATGTAGCATCACATCACTTGCTCACCAATGGATCCTCTGCAGTGAATGGGTGCCGTCAGAATGAGAGTCCAAACAACTGATAAAAACATCACAATAATCCACACGACTCGAGTCCATCAATTAACATCTTGTGAAGTGAAAAGCTGCATTTTTGTAAGAAACAAATCCATCATTAAGACGTTTTTAATTTCAAACCGTTGTTTGCGGATAGAGTCCTTTATCCGTAATATTTCTTTCTCCAGTAAAAAGGTCATCTCGTCTGAATCAGGAGAGAAATATGCACCGATCAAGTCAGGGGCGCCGCTAAGGGGGGGAAAGTTAGGACGATTCTAAGGGCCCACCCCCAGAGATCTGTTTTATTAGTAGTAACAGTAGTGATTCACACTCTGATTACATAGAGCAGCAGCAGGAAGAGCGGGAGGTTGTCATGACAACCAGATACACTGCGCTTCTACGTTGCCACACTAAACTTAGCAATAAACACGTTGAAAATAATACACAAAAAACATGTCTGTCAAAACGATCTCAAAGGAGGCTTTTATTAAGCAAATCAATGAGTGAATTACTCATCCACTGTTAAAAAA